TCCAACACCACCAGCAAACGAGCGAGCAAAACTCGGATCAGCATACAGGGTTACCTTAGAATTAAAATACGGTCCAGTGGGACCAGTTATAACAAAAAGTTTAGCTTCATGTGATATCGATACACCTAATTGTTTCTAAAAACAGTATTCGTTGCGCATCAAGTGAAGTTTGTCATTATGAAACTAATTGTACGCATATAGCTGCTAATATGGTTATTTCTCGAAAAATTCAGTAAACACATCTTTTTTAGGCTCTAGTCAGTAATGGAATTTACTAAAACTGCAAAAAACTGCAAAAAGCCGAGCCGTTTAGAAGTTAAAATTATCATAATTTTCACTTGCATGAAGTTACTTCAATCAATCAAGAAAAAAAAAAAAGGAAAAAAAGGTTTGATAAAAAAATATTTTTTTTTTCATCTGAATGATTTAAAAGTTTACATCTGTGCCGATGACGGCTGGACGGATATACAGAGCATGACCGGTGCCACTTGGGATCCATTCTTTGTCCAAACAAACCAACTCTTTGATTATCTCCAAGAGCTCAGTGAATGAAAAAGTCTAAAAATTTATTGTTTACAAACAGTCTAACACATAGTTTACGGGAGGTCTAAGCTGTATTCAGGCGGATAGAAAAGAGGAATTTAGTTTTCCACTAAAATTTATAAAACAATTTTTTTGTGCAAGTCTAACCGGTAATGTTGCTCGTGCAATACTGCGTTTTAAACGTTCCATATTTTTGTCTGGACGAAACAGCCTAACTTTACCATCGACACCTCTATAAGCTTTCATTCCTTCAAAAGCTTCAACTGCATAATGAAGTACCTGAAAGAGCAGCAAGCTAGATCAATAAAGCAAATTAATGTTATAAAAGTAAAAAAAAAAAAACAAGTGCTTCGAACTTGGAAGCTACATGTATAAGTTATTAACTAAAATTCAGATGTGTGAAATAATTATATATTTTTAATTTTCGATAATTATTAAAAAAAGAAAGTAGTTCAATGTCTAGACAAATTTTAAACAGGAAGCAAAGCACTTTAGCAGCTGGATGTAGCTTAAAATCGTGTATCGGACAGATCACTGGTTTACTCCAACCATTGCTGGCAGTCCAATCAACCTATAAATGATTAAGCAATGATATTTATGTGTTGAAAAACCGACAAAACTAAAATTAAAAAATATTGAAAAAAGAAAAAAAAGTTTTTTTAATTGCTGTAAGCTTATCACATTTAAAATGTGCATAATAATTTGATGAAGAAGGTTTCAAAACAACATTCTTTCTCCGTCAACAAACCTCAGCCATGTAATCACTAAATATCTGTCCAAATTTCAGTGGTTCGCTAGGTTTTGGTTTCTGTTGAAGTTGTTCCGGTTTTGCTCGTATAATTTGCAGATCACGGTACTAAAATTTTATTCTAATTCACCAACTGTTTATCGACGTTTGTCCAAAAATTTGTCCACTATATGTTAGCTTTTGGTAAGCGTAGTGCTTCAACTTATTTCATAAAAACTTCTATATTAATTACGCAATAAAAAGCAGTTTAAAAAATATCAAGTTTTTCCAGCTTTTACATATGCTCTTTAAGTTTTAAACTTGTTAAAGTGTTTTTTTCTTTCCTTTCAGTTCAAGCATAACTTAAAAAGACCAAAAATTTCTAAAAAAACTTTTTATCTCTTCATTTGAGCAGATTTTCTAAAAAAGTTTTCAAAAACTTTTTATCTTTTCACTTGAGCAAATTAATTTCTTATATCTATTAAAATAACTCTGCTTTGGCTTGAGTTACCAGAATGTTTTATTAGTCGGCAGACTAGACGAGCGATTAAAATGACTGTATCTTCACATAATTAAACCAATAAACATGTTTGCATTTGGGTGTCTGAAGCAGCATTCTTTTTTACGCAGAAGTAAATGTTGAAGACTTTCAAATTTTGCACAATTTAGCTTTGCTGATTTTATTTATCAGTTGAACCATTTTTTCTTTTTGTAGACGCAACCAATATCAGAAGGTTGATAACATTGAGCAACTCTCGGGACAAACATCTTCTTAAGAACAACAAAAATTTATTTACACAATTGAACAAATAAAATAAGAATCTATATTTTAGAAACAATTACTGTATAGGTTATCAATGTTAATAATTTTTTTGATAAAATTTTACTTACCAAAAAGGTTTTGGCTGTCTTAGAACGTTTATATACTTCATCATCGTCAAGCCTAACTGCAGCACTAAACCATCGCTGGCATTGCACATTTACGGATTGCTTCAGTAAAACGCTTGTAAGCTTTCTGCCGACGCTCATTTCTGTTCCAAAAATTTCTAATTTTCCTAATTCTCTCAGATGATGCAATAATTTTTTTTAAACCTCATAAATTTAAGCTGATATATAGACATTTGACTAAAGAGGAAGGAGATACAGACGATAATTGGAAGCACTGTCAAATTGGCAGTTTGAAACAGTATATAAGAAAGAATTAAAAATCATTTAAAAATTACCAAAACAGTCAGCAATATTTTTTCCACACTTTTCTAAATTAACACCATCTATCAGTTATACTAAACAAATGACGACTGCATAAAAATTTTTCTGTTTACTTTTTGATACTGGCTT